GCAGTGTTTATTCTTATGTTCTTTTCTGTCTGTATGTCTCTTTTCTGTCTCTCTCTCTCTCTCTCTCTCTCTCTCTCTCTATATATATATATATATATATATATATATATATATATATATATAAATTAAATGTCCATTATTCTTATCCTTCTTACATCATGGATTTACGTCTTTTAATGAAAGCTGACAAAAGACTCTCAAGAAAAATTAATTTTCAGACGTGCGACAACCGAGTGATGCATTTTTTCAACCAATTTTTTATCTGAAAATGTATCCCTATGTGGTAATAATAATAATAATAATAATAATAATAATAATACTGGGAAATCTGCAACTTCTACGGGAAGGAAACTGGTATAAACACCACCCAGACCCGGTTACGGAGATAGGACCTGTTACAATTCTATGGGACTACACAGTACACACTGACAGAACAATCAAAGCCAACCGCCCAGATATTGTTATTAAAGACCATAAACAAAAACGGTGCCTTCTTATTGATATGGCAGTCCCTGCTGACTGCGGTGTATCTTTGAAGATATTCAAAAAGCTGTCAAAATACAAGGACATTGAAATAGAAATCTCGAAAATGTGGCATATGGGAACATCAACAATCCCTGTTGTAGTTGGAGCCCTAGGACTGGTTGGAAAAGATTGCAGTAGACTAATTGAAGGGATTCCTTGAAGTCCATGCCTCAAGGAGATACAAAAAATTGTTCTGACAAGTACAGCCTACACTTTACGAAGGGCTTTATCTTTGTAATATTTTTTTGTTTTTGTCAGTGGAGAGTGTCATGATGCCATTTCTAACCTTAGGTCAGTGGGCGGGACTCGGAAATTGTGTAAACGCCAGAAATCAAAGAAAATAAAAACAATAATAATAATAAAATAATATTATTAATAATAATAATGTTAATAATAATAATAATATTAATAATAATAATGTGAATAATAATAATATTAATATTAATAATAATAATAATAGATTACCTGACAAAACAATTTGACACTACTCCATTCCATTCTGTTGATTTAGAAATGACGCATCGATTTACACCGTTTCTGTACCCCACTTCTCAGCGGCGTACCATGAACTCGAAGCCTCGATATATGTTATAAAAATCGATAAGTCAAAATCGTACGACGTAATCAAAGAAGAGTTATGAACCTGCTGCATCCATTTCTTTCATTACCTTGCAACGTATTTTGACGGCTTTTGTCTGAATCTACGACGAAATACATCTCATGAAACAGCCATTAATTAATTAATAGCTTCGAATCTAATCAGCGAGCAAGGGCAAAAGGTACAAGATTACTACAAAGATGATAATTTGCAATAGCAAGGAGGACATTTTTATGGTACGTTGACCCGGCTTAGTTGTCTAATATGTCTGTTTGTGAATGTCAGCTAAGTAAGCTTCCCTAAAGATGTACCTTATAAGTCGGTCTATGTAAACGGTGTTCGGAAACGATACAGACAACGGAAAAAATGTCTTTGTCTTAGAGGTCAACCTCTCACTTAATTACCTTTTATAAATATTAATTATAAAATGGTTCGCTGTTGACATTAGCGAATTATTTGTCTGCCGATTCTTTCTTGGTTCTTGATAGCAGTTGGCAATTTCAGTGAATCCCCCTTATTCGCAGGGGTTAGGGACCAGAACCGGCCGCGAATAAATAGAATCCGCGAATACTTGTACCCCACTCCCCTTAAAAGTGCTTATAAGTACCTATTTTGATTGCTAAATCCCCATATGCCTTAAATGTTCATCCTAGACACTTTAGAAACATTTCAGCCCCTTTTAAAAACATTTTTGAACAATAATATTTGTGACCATACACTTAGCGTAATTTTTCTTTCATACGTACAATAACCGTTTTTAATTAAGTATAGATCGATACAACCATTGAAAATACTGTATAAAATATGTGTAACAAGACATAAAATATAAAGTTTAAAACATTTTCTAAAAACAGAACTGTGATGATGCCCACAGACTTAGCATAAGCCACTTTTATGACCCCAGCCGCAGCCCCTACCAAAGAACAAAGCCCAAGCACGACGCATGTTTTTGCGTTTGCCTTTTACAATGAGGAGGTACAATTCTGCCAATTTTTACCATACAAATGGAATGTTATATGTTTTCAGTGACTTAAAAGGAAAATAATACAAGAATATTTTAAATATGTTTTATTGAAAAAATACGCGAATCGAAGGAGTTCTTAGCGAATAATCTGTACATATGTTCTTCAGAAAAACACGGGAATATTCAGGGTTTCCGCGAATAACAAGTACATATGTACTAAAGAAAAAACCGCGAATATGTGAATCCGCGAATGCTGAAACGCGAATAGGTGGGTGCTCACTGTATAGGATTTACTAAGCTTAGTACAACAGAAGACAACAAGCGTGAAACAAGATAGAAGTTATTTTTCTGTGTAGCGTGTTCCGTCAAGCCAGAGTGATCATAGCTCTCCACATCTCCTTATCTTTTGTAGCTCTTAAAAAAGTCTTCTTTTTTTACTACCCACCTTGTTCTGTCAACCATTTCCACAAGATTGATATGTAGGTTATTCGCTCATTCCTTTTCCTCCTATCGTCTTAATATGTCTTGTGAGTGTCAAATTTTCCCCTCTTCTTTTCGTATTATGCGTCATAGAAATTTCAATAAGCTCTTTCTGATTCAATGTATAAGAATTCTTTTTGTTTCTACTTGCCTTAAAACATTCCGTTAACATATGCTCTCAAGATGGGATTTACTAAGGGATTTTACCCTTTGACTCTCTATGCGATTTTACCTTTTAATTTATTCACACTTGCGCAATTCCGATGTATATCTTACCTTTCAGATTACCCTGCAAACCGGACTCTCTTTGTATATCTCCTCTTTCTCCACCCCATCTCTCTCTCTCTCTCTTTTGTGTAACAACTGTATGAAATTCATGCCATATGATGGTTTTTCTTGTAATTTTTTTTTTTACTAATTTTTCTCCAACAAAAAGCCAAAGTTCCACACTCAACGTAAAGGGTTACGGAATGAGGTTGTTATATGAGCGTAACAGGAGGAAGCAATTCTCATTATTTTTCTGCAGAAAAAAATCTCTTATATCTCAGGTCTCTTTTTCAACTGTGAAGAAATTGTCTAGTATTCACTATCCTATAGAAGAAATCACATTACATAGTTGCCCAGTGCTTTTTTCTGCTTCTTAATACTTTGCTTAGATTTTGAAAGATCACTACAATTCAAATACGTGATCGGATTTCGGTGTCATATTTTTCCTTCATCAGATATTTGCCAGATATTTAAATTTCTGTACTCGCCTGAGTTTGAAATCTCCAATTTGTAGCTCGCATCTTAGGCTGTTCTTTTTGCATACAACTATATTTCTGTCTTATTACACTTGATAGTTAGTCCTTTCTTCGCGCTTTTCTTTATGATATTGTCAAGGAATTCCTGCCGTTTATTTTCTGGGTGTGCCATTAACATTTCCAAGATTGTATCCACCAATAATAAATCTTTTTGGGGACTTCTAGATCTAGTGTTTCTCTATCACTACAATCTTAACCTCTTCAAGTTTAGAATTACGACCACGTCACGTTGAAACATCGGTTCCCGTACGATCACAGAAGGTAAGCAGAGTTGAGCCTGGTCAGTACCTAGATGGGTGACGGCTTTCGAATACTATAAGATTGGATGTGTAAGTTGGGTAATGGCTCGGAATTCTTAATCGGAGAGCTGAGTTCCAATTCCATTCGATTCATTATATTCACTTACGCGCACTTGACCTTAGGAAAGGTATGAGTTGACCTTAGGAAAGGTATGAGTTCACCTCTTCTCCCCAAGTCATGGCTTAATTAATAAGATTTGTATCACTAAAACCATTATTAATTGCATGCAAAACATTTAGATTTCGGCTTTAAATAACTCACATATGTTGAGATGCCACTAAGCAAATACAACTGACTAATCAAATCTTCAAGTCTGTCATCAACCACTATCTATTCTACATGTGCTTATAATATGCACACCTCCTTCTTCTATTTGCTTACTACTTCCTCATTTAGTCACACTCTCGAATGGTTCATCGAAACGTAATTTATTCTTTCTATCTCAGTATATACATATCAATATATTATGGGTAATTCTTATAGCTTTCTTCCCTGGGTCGAGAATACGTCGACTGCATCCCCTAGAAAACTCTCAAAATTATAAGAGACCACCTACCCAGAAAATGCTTAAAGACTCCAATATTATATAAACAAAGAACATTTACTTATCTTCTAACATAATAAATGCTTATAAACCAAGGCGATCCATAACTCAGGCCTCTACATTGAGTTAAGGTCAGTAAGTGACTGGGGGCGAAAAATTAACACGCGAAAGTTCGTTGCTAGAATTAGATTAAGAAATTAAATTTTTTTAAGAAATTTTTACGTTTTATCTTTAGATTATCTCAAGTTTATTGTTTAAGATACTGAAGTAAGTGCAATGTTTATTTATTCTATTTGAACTTTGCATCAAACAACAAATTTGCAACAAACTTTTTCGATGCGAATTTCACAAGTGTCATTAAGAATTTATCGGAAAGTTAATTCGAATTTAATATTTTCCTCCATTTTCATTAACAATTAAATATAAACTTATTTTTATGAATAATCTTTTCATTAACATAACAGGTATTCTTTAAAAAAGTACGTTGAATTTTTCTGTCCTTCGTAAATAAATAGAAGGCATTAAAAAAAAAAAATGTAATTTTTTTCACTGCAAAATTAATGAAAAATAACACTTATTAAAGAATTTATCAGTTAAAGTTAATATCAAAAATTAAATTCAATAATAAATTTAATATCTTACAGGTATTCTTAAAATATGCCACAAAAATGTAAAAGAGACGACATTGTGTAGTCGATATTGTACTTCTGTTTTTTGACATTATTTAAACAACTAAATTCACAGAAAAATGTCATCTTTTAAGAATTTTGTCACAGAAAGTTAATTTAATTTTTTTCTTTATACTATTATTCTTCATAAATTGCTTTATTTTGAGCAAATATTGCATGGATCGAAGTTGTATTATTTGACATCTACATTTAATTTAAGAAGTACTTTACATTTTCAATATAATAATTCTTCATGATAACTAATATTTTGATTATAAGATTCATTTTTAATGAATAATTTGTGTTTTCTTTATAATACATGAAGTATGTTGATAAACCTATTAAGCAACAAAATTTTTCCCGGTGTTTAAAAATGTTTTGTGATCAAACGGTAGCTGCCATAAAAACCCACCCAGTATTAAATGTAGAGTATACCTCAGAAACAGTTAATTTCATTGAAAATTCTTAAAATTTGGGAAAATTGTCTGTCAAAGAAATATATGCTGACACTAAAAAAAAAACAATCCAATGAAAAAAGTGAAATCAGATTTAGATGATGAACATCTGTTATTTCTTTCTAATTTTGGGTAAATGCCAAAAAGAATGATGGAAGGGAAGCAATGAAAAAGAATTAATTAAATGTTAATTCATTAACAAGTAATACTAGTTTAGTCACGGAACATTCATGCAGTGGCTTAATTGATGTGTGCAGATATAAAATATCAAAATTAAACCCACTGTTTAACAAAACAGTGGGTTTAATTTTGATATGCTTAGTAAATTTACCACCGACTATTTAGAAAATCAATTTGGAAAATTAAAACAAATCTTTGCGGGTGAATATTTTTTAACAGTTCAAAATGTTATTGAAAAATTTCATATTGAAAATTAAACTACTTCTTAAATTAAATGTTGATGTCAAATAATACAACTTTGATCCAGGCAATAATTGCTCAAAATTTGGAAAATAAAATGGATTTTGTGCATTTAGTTATTTTATGGTCGAGAAGGTTTTTTTTTTTGTTCTTTCTTTGTACATTTGCATTTTATACAATTTATAATTAAATAATTGTAAGCTGCTTTTCAATATTATGTATAATTGTTAATTAACTAATTACTGGACATTACTAACAAGTTCCTTGCTAAAAATATTCTCTGAAATTGATATTTAGCAATAAAGTAGGTCTCCACATATCAGCCCCCAGTCGTGGACACCAGTAGCATGGTTGCCAGGCCTGAGTTATGGACCGCCCTGTTATAGACTCAAATATAAAAACACATTAAATAAGCCGTCAAGCGTGGCATATAATATAATATACTACACTGTTTACATTGTTCGGACTATTGTCATCATCTTTGTCACCATATTTATTACAATGTTTCGGCCGTTGTACGCTCCGGCCTTCTTCAGGTGGTTGGAATGTCGAACTGAACCCTTTATTTCGCTGGATGGGTTAGACTGTTCTAGTTCCACGTGCCATGTTTAACGGATGTCAGTTATCAGTTATCTCCTGTTAATTCCCCTCTCCAAGTTACCCACCGCCTTAACCAGGTATTGAACTCACACTCTTTGGATCCTGTCACTGGATCTAAACAACGCCTTTATCCTCTGTAACATGTGTCCTCAAAGAGATAACTGATAATTGACATCCATTAAACATGGCACATGGAATTAGAACAGTCTACCCCAGTGAGTGAAATAAAGGGTTCAGTCCGACATTCCAACAACCTGAAGACAGCCGAAGCGTACAACGGCCGAAACGTTGTAATAAATATGGCGACAAAGATGAGGACAATAGTCTGAATAATGTAAATAGTGTTCATAATAACTCATCTCAGAAATATAGAGATACTAATATAATATTATATAATAAAATCAATCAACACAAACAAATATTTATTTATTTATGTCGAAATCGTTTAATATTTATCTCATAAGTCTGTACACCGCTTTATTAATGTATATTTATTTATTTGTCTACATTCTTGTTTGATGTCTAACATGGTTGAATATTTTCATACAACTCCTGTGGTTGTCGTGAGGGACAATGTAAAATAGAGCGACTGATTTTCAAGCCAAGGATTTTCTATTTTCTCGGATGATAGGCGTAATACAATTTTCCATCCCAATTCCCCACACACTTCCAGATCTATGCCAATTTTAGCTAGGCTGATCTGACCGAAAATAAGAGAAGCCATTGGGGAAAATTTAAGAGCTGTAGAATATATATCTTATCTCCCTACAAGAAGATGTCTTGCTTGTTTTTGGCACCCAGTAAATCTAACAAACGTGGTTTTTGTACTTCACCATTTCGACACATTTATTTTCAATGACTGTTTTTAGAAGTCAAACAATGGCGCACAACCTCCAACGTTTGTGTTCAGTATATTTATAATGAGAAGAAAATCATTAAACAATTTTTTGCTGTGCGTAAAGTTTTTATAATTTTTCTAAAGGAGTAATCCTTTTAAGTACAACTTGAGTATGATATTACATATTCACAACGATCAACACATGAAACCAATTCATCATACGTCAGAAAATATAACTGAATGTGAAGTAGGGAGTTTGTACACTTTATGAATGAATATATACATCGTATTTTTAAATATTTTGATCTCCATTGAAACCTTTGGTTACCTAAGAATAGAAATAAATAAATAAAAAAACGATTGATTAGTTGGGTGATTTCCTCTAGCATCGTTTGACTTCTTTTAGCGGCGTATCAACGTCTATGGGTAATTTAATGCCGAAATCTTATCCAATTGTATACGTTCAACTACAGCTAAAAATGCGTTGTTGATCATTTTGCTATAAAATGTACTGGTGGTAATTTTACTATAAATATGTATTTTTATACGTTGATAGAGTTTTGTTTTTGTTTGGGGGTCCGCTATTTATCCATAGCCTGGGAAAAACAGTGGTGTTTCCACGCTCCACAAAACCTCCAAACCCTGATCCGAGGCCTTGCTGTCGTAAAAAATAAAACAACAAAATTAAAAATAATAAATATAAATAAAATTAAATATAATAACTTTTGTAGCTGAATCTTTCTCTTTACAAAAAGCGAGTATGCTAGATTAAAATGTGAGTCATGACTTCTAACGACCGGAAATGACAACAACAACACCACCAACAACAACAACACAAACAACAACAACACCTCCACCACCACAAGAAGAGGAAGAAGAAGAAGAAGAAGAAGAAGAAAGTTATTCTACAGTGATATCTGTTTGACCTTATCCTCTCTCGTCCCTATTTTCGTATAATTAAGCCATTGCATATTTTGTCCACAACATTACAGGCAGCGTGGAAATAATTCTATACAGTTGATAGGGGACACTTTATAATAACGAATGTTTCTACTTTTTTCTCCAAGCGAGACATAATTTCTTCATTTTTATTATTATTCTAAGTATTAAAATATTTATTCCGAAATTGTTCTGTTATATTTTATTTTATCTTTCGTCTGAAGAGAAATCATGCGACAGTCTTGCTGTAAACATTACCTAGACATAACAATAGAGGCAACAAAAGCCCACCAAACAAGAAAAAAAAAACAATTAAGAACGTGCATTTATAGCCGAAGCGTGTATCTAAGCAAAAGCCGCCGGGTATGAAAGTTACTTTTAACAACATGATTAAAACCCACACGTTGATGCGTCAAGAAATCTGTCTTCTTTTTATCTTTTTTATTTTATTTCTTTTCCAATCTCTAGAGACAGATACGTGTGATTTTCTATCGGTAATAGACGTGATGCAAACAAGGATTTGTTTGCGTGTATGCGTTCATATGTAATTTA